CATTAGTCCTCGAGCACCAGGTGAAAAATACATGGCACCCTCTCTCGCTCGATTTTTGCACACCTGTAAACACGCGAACGTACTATTTGCAAGACCTCCTACTAACAATGGTGATTTTCGTGCTTCTTATCTGGCTCTGGGTTTGGTGTAACGCGGTTGCTGGCTACTTTGTACCCTATCCCTTCCCTTTTGTCCCTACGTCTCGCCAGAACAGAGATTTACTTTTATTGCAACGCACGTGAAGCGAGCGTAGAACGTTGCGCTGCTCGCCATTTATTTCAGATGATGTCCCGGATGGAATGGTTAATGAAACCGCTTCTCTACGGACCGGTACACGCACGAGAGACATAACGAATCTGTAACATCGATGATTTATACAATCGGTTTCGCAGCTGCGCCTCTGACGACTGACTGCGTGTTCGCAATTCCTCCAGCCTACGCCCATTTTCTATCTGCTCGCTGTTTCATCCCTCTAAAACAAGTCGCGTCCAGTGAATCCATGCTGAATTAACGCTAATAACGCAACGCATGGCCGACAACAGTTTGATGTTCATATACTGTCGAGATATTATCGCAAATGCAAATTATCATAATTGCAGAATGTTACGGTTCAAAGATTTTATCATTTGTCCCGTATACGTAGGCATGTAAATACACGCTTCATGCGTGTATAAAAGATAACAAAATTTTGAGTTTTAAAATTTTAGCGAGATACCTTTGGACCCGCTTTCACGTTTTACATTATGTGAAGTACAAGAAGAATGTTAGGAGTTTCCAAGTTAAGGTTAAAGCAAAGTTAAAACAGACAGATCGCACATTCCAGTAGAATCTGCTCTAGCTTCCTCGCAAACCTGTTTGTCGCTTATCGACTCCTTTTTACTCTCGAGGCATTGATGCGTGAGCCGACCGGTAACTCTGTCATTAAAGAAGTTCAAACGAACTTCCGTAGGCCATGAAGGAAGTATACGTTCAGAAAGATTCGTAATGTACGAGCGAATGTTGTTTTTATCCGATCACGTGGACAGAATACGATCCTCATAAATATCTATTAAAACACGTATAAAATATTGTTGGAGTCTAAATAGGTCTCATCTCATTACCGATCTCCTTCTCGTGTATCGCGTTCTGCCCACGTAGTCCAAGAATATCTTTAAGCCACTCGCTGTCAAGCGATCGTTTGATCGAAGAGCGCACGAATTGACTCTTCTCTTCGTTCCCATTCGCGAATATTCTTGCGCTTTCCGATTGACATCTTTGGTTCGGTTCACACGATAAACGCGCGTCGAGACGCTATTCGGACTATTTATCTATCGTACGAACGTGATGACTTAACCATAGGACAGAAGAAAATAAGTAGAAAGACGAAGAAAAATCCTCGTCGAACCGATCCGATTCACATATCTCTCACACCTCCTCTGCAACGCATACACACACACATACACACACAAAGTTTTCTCTAGCACTTTCACTCTCTGTATACATGCAAACGTGTGGACACTCACATGCATACACATGTCACAACAGACACGTCGTCTTTTTTTTCCTATTTTTTTTTTTT